GGAGGAAGGTGGGGCATGAAAAGAAATAAAAAGAAGAAAAAAGCCCTGGTGTTTACCCCCTCCTGTGTGACCCTGGATGGTTGTAGTTGTACGAAAAAATACAGTGAGAAGTGTAGTACTCTACATACGCTGAAAGAGTGTTGTACACGCCTCACCACGAAAGACTGTCGCCATAATAGGACGAAAACACACACAACACACACACACGGCGTCATCGTTGCCACTCTCCTCCGCTGCCGCCTCTAGGTACCCGAAGTGAGACGACAGTTCAGCTTAACCCGGTGGGGCACGCCCCCCGCGGCCCACGTTTTTATCGTCGCTACCCCCCTCCTCTTCAGCAGCCTCGTTCTCCACCTTATCCCGCTCGGCCTTCACTTTGCGGATCAACCGTTCCGAGCACCCGAAGCGGTCTGCTATCTCCCCTTGAGAGAGCTTCGCATCCACCAGCTTGAGGATCTCGACCTTCTGGTGTTCGTCCAGCCGCTTACGAGCTTCGTTCTTACTCCCCCCTTGTGCTTTCGGGCGTTTAGATTGCCCTTTCCCAGCACCTTCTGCTGCTCTCGCTTGCGCTTGCCAGTGTTGGCTACGCACGTACTGCAGATGCGGTTCAGCTCGCTGTCATCAAACATGCTTCCACATTCGCCATGGAGCCGCCCGCCGCATCGTCCCCGGCAGATGTGACCATTAGGGGCTTGTGGCGTTCTGTCCGGTATGCGGCACAGGTCACCTTCCGCAAATGGCATGGTGCGCCTCTGCGTAGAGCTGTTCGGGTCTGCAGCAGCACGTGTACCCTCTCCTCTGTGTCTGTGTTCTGTGTTGTGTGTCTCTTGTGTGTTGTGTGTGCGTGCGTGCTTGAACCGGCACTATTGTGGGGTTCAGTGGGGCCCGAACCGGCACTATATTGGCCCGCCCTGAATAGTGCCGGTCTGGCACTATTCAGGGCGGGTTATGTGCGCCGAGATTTGACCAGCACCATACCGGCAACCGGCACTAAACAGGGACCTCTGCTGTATTGGTTTTGGATGGAAGCTAAAACGTGTAACGGTACCCTGTGATATGGTACTACACACTACCCAGGTACTTTGCATATGATACAACACTGAGAGACGAACCTTGCGCAACCGTGAGCTCTTCAGCGTTGCTGCTCTTGCCAGTCGTCCCGTCCCTGATACGAGGGTTGTGTGCGCACAGCAGTCTCTGTGCATACAGCAGTCTCTGTGCATACAGCAGTCTCTGTGCATACAGCAGTCTCGCTGTGCGTACACAGTCGACCCCGCTTTAAGGACGCTCGCGTTGAGGGAACTCCCCGCTTTAAGAAAACTATGTTTGGTGAGCTCCAGGGGGCCGGCAGAATGTACGATAATGGGGTAACCGTATGTTTCTGCCGCGTACCCCCCCCCCCTTTTTGTCTTCTGCGGGCCGCTCTTTGCACGCACCACGCACCACAGTTAGTGAATAAGTAGCGACGCACAGACAGCAGAAGTGGTAGCGAGCGGTCTGCTGCTGCAGCTGTAACTGGATTTTGGTATTATGGATAGATTCCTCCCATCTACCGGCGGTCCATCTTCTGCCAACAAAAAAGTCGTGCATAACCTCGTCCCTCACCGAGGGCGAGGGTTTCTCTCGCATACGAGGATGTTCGATCCTATGCATATTTGTACGCGAAGGGAAGGGGTGGCGAGTACCGTGAGACGCAGTACCTTCTTTTGAAGACCGTTCGTTCGTTTTCTCATGAAACTCAACAGAGCCGTAGAGCCAAGCCGCGGGGTGGAGGTTCAGGGAATTCTTCGCGATATGTGGAGGGAAAAGCCGTTAGGGTGGCTTTTGGTCTCCGCCGGAACGACAGTGATACGTACTGGTGTTCCTCGGTGCGACGCTCAAATACGCTCGTTTTTTTTTTGTTTCACAAGAATGAGATATATATGTCTACTTGGACTTTCCTCCTTCTTCCGCTGCCGGCTATGCAGTACATTAGTTGACCAAGTACAAACTAGTGTACTGTTGTTTTCAACACGTCCCCGACTGTTGTACATCTCATTGTAAGCATTGTAAATGTGTTCGGCGTCAACAAACGGTTGCCAGTCGTCTCGGCGATGCTGGCTTTTCGTACCACACCCTTCCTCAGCAAAAGACGCGTAGTCTGGGGAATAGCATGCCTCCATTGTCCCCCGGGGATGGTGAGCTATCGTCCCCTGAATTTAAGGACGCAACCCCGCTTTGAGGACGCTTTTTTTCGGGAAAAACCATGTGCGTCCTTAAAGCGGGGTCGACTGCATGTAGGTGCATCGTGTGGGAGCAAAAATTATTTATCTATTTTGTGTGTTTTCGTGGGGGTGGTCCAGCGATTGACGATACTCCTTGCTTTTGTCGCTACGGCGGGCACACGTGCATACGCACAAACGCCAAGAATGGGGAGGGGGTGTACTCATCGTCGTGCAGAGGGGGTGTAATCACACATGGTGTGTACTTCTGCATACCGCAAGTCGCATTTAATATCCACACTCCCTTGGACTTCCTCGGTACAGCAGCATGCTGGCTGCCTCTGCTGGCGTAAGTCATGTGAAAACCCAAAAAGTCCTCGTTTTTTATTCAGAAAGTCTGCGTATGTTGTTGATATGTACAATAGAATCACGGATCTTTTTACTCGTTCGATGTAATATCCTGCGCAATATCGAAGGCAAGCACGGAACCCTTCTGTGTGATGTGACCACGGATTGGACCTACCTACTCGGCAGCTGCCGTCAGTGAGCTCCGATTTTTTAAGTGATGCAATAAAAGGCAAGAGCACCCCATGAATAGGGCAATTTTTTTGTGAGACACGGAAGAACTTCCAACAATTGTTAATGTTTTATAGGGATAGATACCCATCTCCCACCAATCACCCGCCCGAGTTGTTTGAGACATTTTGCAAGACAGAGACAGATGATTGGGCGATGGGTACGACGCTCTCGGCAGAATCATCGAAGTTCTCTTGCACAGCAGCACCATACACATCACGCAGACAACGTGCGAGGCAACCAGCACAGCAGTATCGGACTGCTGTAGGCCAAGGGCAGCCAATGGCACGCATAATGGGAGGTGTTGGGTATGACTCTTGCAGCTCGTTGCCTGCTGTCGGCAGCACAACAAGCGAGTGACGAACCAAGTCAATCCGCGGTCCGTCTGCATCACCCTGAACCTACCGGAGCTTCCCGCACAGACGCATCCCAACACCATAGAAAACGAGGCCTACACACTGCTGTAGGCCAAGGCCGGCCAAATCAAGGCTGGCGTCGGAAGCTATTTAATAACCCCGAGGCCTACTACTAGCAGCGTAAGCTAGGGAACATGCGAGTGCGCACAAGTCAGATCTCTGTCTGCGATCTCTTCGTGTGCCGGCCGATCTTTGCTTTCACAACAGACGCCCAGAAACATAGAAACAGAGACAAGTGAGACGTACACAGCGCTGTAGGCCAAGGGCGGCCAAATACGCACGTCGTGGGAGGGGCCGGGGTCAATTTTCAGAGACCGTTGCCCTCTGCTAGTAGGAAAGCAAGTGCGCACCCATGCACAGCAGCAGCAACAGCAGCAGCACTGCTGCCGCTTAGCTGATGATGATGAGAGCTAAACAGCGCTCCCATTCATCTCTTGACTGACTGGTGGTATCTGGTGAGGTGTGAGCGTGCGCACTGGTGACCTACGTGATGGCGTAGGTTCCATCCATATCCATCTACACTTGCTTTGATGTCTCTCTCCGACCCTTCTTTCGCGCTTCGCCCGAAATAGTTTAATTTTTTGTTGTTGGACCCTTACGTATTGGAGCCCAATAAAACAAGAAATCGATCAATTCGTGTTGAAAGAAAAAAAACTTTGAAGGCGCTTGGTGCGGGTCAATAAATGTCTGCCCAGTTGGCGGAAACCTGGATGCTCGCATGGCCCGGTCGTTCCCCTCCTTGTGCAAAGAAGCACTACAAGAGAGTATCATATCGGTGACAACGAGACCCCCACCTCCCACCAACACCAACCTAAATAAAACTCTGGAATAGGGACGCAGACGAAGCCGGCAACAACGGTAGAAGAGGCACACGGGGTGAGAGCAAGCGGAGGAGACGGTGCTCGACATTCCGGAGAAGAAGCTGCTGCGAGTTATGGTGCCCCTGCTTCTGTTATCAGTGGGGGGGGCGACGGTGAGGCTGGTGTTTGTTATGCATGATACATGGCGGTTTGTTGTCCCTCCTCTTCCGTGCTTGAACCCTCGCTTTCTCGGACTCTAGAACCGACGCGCCTTCTCGTTTCATTTTTCTAAGGTGTTTCTTTGCTCGCACTTACGCATTGATATGGCTGGGATCTACTCTACAGCCCCGTCTTCCTTCTCCACAGCCACCGAATTCGGGGCTCCCGCAGACTAGAATCTTCCGCGGTTTTGTTGCCCCCCAGAAGACTGCTGTGACTTTGTCACTGGTCAGCCGGTTGGCGGTGTGGGGTATGGTTTTTGTACTTTGACACAACAAGATTGTTTTGAAACGCCAATGCTGGCTCGAAGACATGTATGTATGGACCGGACCCGCCGACCTGAGTCCGGGGGGACTGTAACGAGGGGTACCTTGAGGTGCTTCGTTTGAGCAGCGAACCTTATGCGGCCAACGATGCCGTCCGAAACAGCAATAAAAGTGCTGTTCTCCAAACGAAACTCGCGACTGTGTGCGGACACTTGACGACATGCAGCACACACACACAAACGCAAGTCCATGTCAAACACTCAACTTTTGTGTGTGTGTGTGTTTTCTTCTGCCCGTGTTCGCTTGCCCGCATTTTAAACTCGCGGTACAAATGAAACATATGTATTTCTTACTTCTGTATTTTTTGATGCAGCAAGCGAAGGTCTGAGCTTCGTCTCCTCGAACGAGTACTTGCCGACGACGGGGTCCCCGTGGACTCACCTCGCGGAGCCGTTCCGAGACACGACGTTCACGGCCTACTCTACCCTTGGGCGCCCTGACGCGGACGTATTCCGGTGGTCGTTTGAGGACGGGACTGTACTGGAAGGAAGGTGCAATTTGAGCCCGCTGCTGTTTGTTTTCATTCGCTTGATTTTGATACAGCCCCGTGGTTGGTATGTTAGTGGTAAGTGTTTTTTGCTCCGTTGCTGAAGCGGGCAGATATTGTTGGCTTCTTGTTCTTTTGAAGAACTTATTTTCGATAGTATGAGATCGTACTGTGATGTAATTTTGAACTCTTCTGCTGCTCGTCGTTCTGATCTACGGAAGCAGGATTCTGTCTTGATCTGTGCATCTTGAAGTGGGCTGCTGCTGGTGCTGTGGCTGCTGTAAAGATCTCTAGTGAGGCTGGGGGGCGAGAAAGAGGGTTACTCGCGGGTGTAGGCTTGCATAGGCCCTGTGGCGTCACTCGCTGTGGAGGAAATGCGGTCGCAAGTGCACAAGCTACCGATTTACACACATCTCCTCACTTACGTTCGTGAGAGCTGTGAAGCTGCCAAAGGGATCTCCTTCCTGGGAAACTTATGATCCTCCGAGTGGTGCATGAGAAGGATTGATTTGCTTTCTAAACCCTAACTCTATTCCTAACCCTAACCCTATTAGTCCGAAGCCGAGCACTTGTAAGATTTCCGGAAAGTTCTACGGGGCTGTAGATAACTATGCTGGTATAATGCGGGTTTGGCTTTTAGGCCAGGGTGTATCGGCATCACCCCGAAGATACCCATGGAAATTGGTCTACCTCGCCCCCCCCCCACCCCCGTTCCTCCTTCCCCCTAACCTTCCTTGGCGGTCTTGGCCAATTGTTTCTCCTTAGCAAGCGCTCTTGACAAGGAGACTTTACTCCCGTGATTCACCCTTCCTGTGTGTCCGCCTGTCTTTTTCCTTTTCTCTCGCTCTCGTTGCGTTATTTGTCCTTACCGTTTTCCTCCGCTGCTTGCTCCCTATTTATATTATATGCTCGGGCTATCCCCCCCCGCCCCCGAATTTGTGGATCCAGAGAGGTGAAGCACAACTTCAAGACGCTCGGACGACAACGGGTGTCCCTCTCGCAGATCGTTGTGTCCACGGGCAACACCCACCAGACCGTAGACTCCGTCATGGTTAAGGTGCGTGCCATATTTTCATCTCGAGCCAACACACATCCGAGCTCGTAGTCTCACGGGTGTGCCGCACGATCGACACGCTTCTGATGACGACGTGAGAACGACGACTTTTCTCCCCGTCGCAGGCAGCTATTGCCGCGTAGCGGTAGCAGAGGTTGTCAGACACGATTTGTTGTGGATTTCCACGTACGCGCATGGATGGAATGTGAAATGTGGTCTACTTTTTTTTCCTCGCTCAGTCAACCTCTCCCACATCCTCGTAGCTCGACCTCACCGGGTTCCGAAACACTTCTTCTGTCGTCGTTTTCCCCTCATTGGCGTTGTCGTACGTACTTGACTCCTTTGCAGTACGTGCGTCGAGAGATCCGGTCGTTGACTGACAGTGACAGGGAGGCGTTTTTCGACGCCATGGAGACGCTCTACCGCCTCCCCACCGTGGAAGGCCACGAGCTCTACGGCGAGGAGTACAAGGTGCGGTGGGCGGCCCCTGTGGGCTCTCTCGGCACATATGCCGCGTGCCCGCCTCTGTTTGTAGCACCGCCGGTACCCACCCGGCACCCCGCTACATATGCCGTACGATACGTTACCGTGCTATTCCTTTGGGATAATGAATTTACGGTGTCCCGTCTCGGCCCAAGTTTTCACGGTACGGTTATGCGGTGATACGTTGTGGTACATACTCCACCTTTCAGTTTGGTGTGTCATATGCTCGCGTTCGCTCTTCCCTCGTATGCGGCTTACCGCAGGGCATCAACTTTTTCGTGCAGATGCACCTGAATGGGGCCGGTGTGTCGGACTGTGATCACTGGCACGACGATGCCGGTGGGTGTCTCTTAGTCGTAGAACAGGGAGGAACGAGCCTCCCCTCTCTCGACTTGCGTGCAGCAGTGCGATGTGTTGTGTGTTTTGTGTTTTCGTCCTATTTATTATGGCGACAGTCCCCCCATTTTTCGTGGTGAGACGTGTACTACACTTTTCAGCGTTTGTTTGTAGAGTACTACACTTTTCAGTGTATTTTTTCGTGCATCTACAACCATCCAGGGTCACACAGGAGGGGGTAAACACCAGGGCTTTTTTCTTCTTTTTATTTCTTTCCATGCCCCACCTTCCTCCTGCGGTGCGATACAGCAGCTCCAGACACTGCTGTCCGGTTCGTGGAGAGTACCACCCTGTCTGGAAATATATACGGGCCATTATGATGTTCGCGCTTGTATCCGAATGCCCCTTGTTTGTATCTTTGATCCACCCCTGCACGGCCGGCCCAAGTGAACGGAATCGGCTCGCGTTTTTGTTTTGCTGTTTGTTCTAAACCTGAAAGCAGATGGAGGGTCGCCTGGTAGTTGTCCAGGGTTGAGGCTTGCACACGTGTGCGATATTCTCATTTCAGCGTAGCGCTCTCTGATCAAGTCGTTGTTTCGCTCCCGGCGCCCCGCTCATTGTTTAGGCATCATGACGCACCACGTGGGGTACACATTGCTGTTCGAGCAGGCCCTCCAGGTGGTGAACCCCTCCGTCACCATTCCCTACTGGGAGTACACCATCGAAGGTAGGTCGGCAAACAAAGTATTGGGAGATGTCTGGGGCACTCGATGCCTTCTCTCTCTCTCTCTCCCCCCCCCTCTGTTTTCGCTATCTCCCTCTCTCCCGCCGTGATGTGGAACGCGTCTAGATTCGCCGGGTTTGCACGCGAGTTAGTAATGTGGAAATAACTGCGCGCGTATTGGTCGATAAGAAGACCACACGAGGGCGTTTTGTATCTCGGGGAGTGTGGGCGTAGCTGGCCTGTTCACTTGCACGGCAGAGCTACAGTAGCTCGCTGAAGTAACGATTTCGTAGGTATGCCGGTTGATTGGGTTTAGGATGATATTCTCACGAGGTGGGCGTTGATTTTTCATGTGTCTCTATCGGATCCGCTCTCGAGTACTCTGTAGGTGTGTTCGTCTCTGCCGAGTGTGTTTTTTTTTGTGCGTGTGGTGTGAAGACGGGGTGATTTGCTCGATTGAGTGCTCATGAAGTTTTGTCCGTTTGCAGTGCTTTGGAGTTAATTTTTTTCGTTGCTGTTGCGCTCTGGCGTGGTTTTTTGGACCGCCCCGCCTCCGTCGATGAACAAAAAAAATACGAAAACGCCTTCAACACGGAAACCATGGGAGCAGCCGCCGCAGGGCTTGAAGACTACGATTCCTCGGAGATTTTCGCCAGCGACTGGTTCGGCGAAGCATCTCCAGACAACGAGTTGCACACGGTGGACAAGGGGCGGTGGGCCTTCCTTCCCGTGATGGAGGCGAGTGCCGTACGTATGTGGTTGTTTCCCACGCACGAAACGAAGAAAACGGTCTTGCTCCGTACCATATTGTGGTTAATTTTTATTTGGTTTTGTACTGGGAAGTACCATGACCACACCGTGAGACCGGCGAGGAGGGTCGTATCTTGTACAGTACTTCCTGGTTTCATTGCGCGTCTTTTCACGTCGCGGAACGCTCTTTCGTTGTCGTTCTTGTTTTGAGATACTGAGAAAATCTTTCGGATGTACTTCTTCTTTCATGTGTGAGATGAGACAATAAAAGGAAGTAGAATTTTTATTTATCCACAAGTAGGGGAGGTGGAGGCTCGTATTTATTTGAATGTTGGTTGTGATGTGTTGACTGCTTGGGTGTCTTTGATAATTAGTAACTCCAAGGAACCATGTCTCCTGATGTGCTGTATCCCATTGGATTGAAGTTGAGGAGACATAGGCGTTGAGTACAACGCCGTTTGCCGTGGTATCGAGTGTATCGGCTTCTTTTCTACTGTAGCCCGCATCGACACACACGTTGCCGTTGCTACATGTTGCTGCTGCTGCTGCTGCTGCTGCTGCTGCTGCTGCTAGTGCTGTCGTTGTTGTTTCCTCATGAAGACTTCCAGATCAAAAAAGTGCCACTCTTTTTTAATCCCGCTTGGATACAGAGGCAATGGCGACAACGGCCCAAAAAGCCAAGGGAAAACAATCGAGCTTTTTAGCCCACCACCTTCCTTTTCCATGCTCTTGTCCCTGTCTCTCCCCTTGTTCATGTCTTTTGCCGCAGGACGCGTGGCACTATGTCCACAACCCTTACGGCCTTCTTCGCTCTCCGTGGAACACCGATCCGACGCCGTACGTCACCCGCCACAACGTGACCAATAACAAGGTGATGAATGAACGAACGAGAAGCAAAAAGTGGGTTCGTGCACCAAGGGTCGTGTACAACTCTACCATACGCAGCAACGACATGTTTAGGGTATACGATTCGACAAGTTTACGGTAGGAGCGAGGCTTCGTCGGTGGTTTCCTAAACGTGGCCATGTTCGCGGGCAGGTAGACAGCCGCAGCTGTGCTCGTTCCCCGAGCGAGTGTCAAGACACCCCGCTTTCGCAATACCGGAGTGGCGTCGTGAAAGGCTAAATACTGCTCTCGTCTCGTTTGTGTGAGTTAACGCCTTTCTAGTACGATGACCGGCCCCGCCCTCCAACGCTTTGTTTTGCGCGCATGTTTTTTTTTTGGCTCTCTGGTTGACTTCAGAAGCTCGTCTCGCGACAGTAAATGAACAAAACGCCATCTGTTGACTGAGATGAGTCCGTGGTATTGTACTTGAAGTACAGTAGAGGTCCCTGTTTAGTGCCGGTTGCCGGTATAGTGCCGGTATTTTCGGCTCGCACACACTGGAATATCAAGTCGTTCTGTACTTTCAATAGTGCCGGTGAAATTTCGGCGCACACCCGGGCACAACACAGGGATCTCTACTGTAACTTCGTAATACGTGACCATGAAATATTAATCCGCTATTCAGCTGCGGATAGAGGTGAATCCGTTGTGTGATACTTCTTTCTGTGGAAGACAACAAAAAAAAATGTAAAAAACGGAACACGCAACATGACGGTGAAAATGATGCAGGACGTGCAGGGTATCGTGACCTGCTACGACTACCAGAGCTGCTTCGACAAGGATAACCTCGCCGACATGAACAACTGCCTGAACGGGGGCACCCACGGACCGGTGCACATCAAAGTGGGGGGGGAGTGGAACGATCCCCAGGAGGGCATCGTACAGGCTCTTGGTACGCTGTTCGGGGTCGAGGGGGGGTGGTGGGGGCGTTGTTATTGTTGTCTTGCCAATAAAGACCGTTCCGATCTCTCTATCCAGTACCTCCGTATGTCCGTACTGATCAAGCCAGCAGTTGTCGCAGTCGATTCCCGTGGTCACAGGCTGTCTAACTTACCCTACGAAGGGCATATTGGTAGGACTGGTTTTTTCAGGGGGGGGGGGGGGGGAGATGTTTTTGTTTTCCGAGGAGGCGGACATGCAGTTATACATTTTGTGTGTTGGGGTTCATGGCCCTCGCTCCTCCAGTTACTTCGCTGCTCTGCGGGCCTCCCTGTCCCTAGGTGGTCTGAGCGCCCCCCCGCCGCCGTGAGATGTAGCGGCCTACCCTTTTTGTGCTGCATGCATGAACATGACAACGACCCTTCCCCCGCACCCCCCTCCTGCGTTATGTATTTCCAGGGTACAGCAACAAGGTCCCTTTGATGAGCAAGTACCTCTGGAGAAAGGGCTACCTACGGATGCCGACTTCTTGCTCGGTCGAGAGCGAAGGTATGACACCGGAATAGAAAGTGGTCTGGTTGGTATGGTAGCGAAAATGTGTTCGGGTTCCATCGACGGCACATGATTTTTTTTTGGGGGGGGGGCGCGCACTTGGGTGTTTTTTCCTCGATCGATACCCAGTAAGGATGTTGTGATTTAGCGAAAAAGATTGACGGCCTGCTCTATATCAAGAAGGGGCGGAATGTGTTTTTGCGTAACGGCGTAGTTTCCACCTGGCCCAAAATACAGAATGACCCAATCGGTACACACAACACACATAATTTGCTACACCCGCAGGCATGATCCATCCTACCGCTTCAGTATTCCTCATGACGTGGAATGTCCTTTTCACGCGACAAAATGTTTACCGGGATAAAGCAATCAAGAACGAGAAAAAATACCGGACCCCCCCCTCCCCCCGCCCGGTGTTTGCCATCGGGGTTGGATTTTCGTCGCTTGGCAACGACGTTGTAAAACAAGCCGAATACCTAGGGTTGGGTACTGAACCAGTACGTACTGCCAGTGCATATGCACTGGCTGCGTCAGCAGCCAGTACTCCAGTACATTCTTATATTCGCAGATTTCCTCTGTATTACGCCTCAAGAACCAGCGGAAACCCATATACTCAGACCTCCTCTGAGAGACACACCGCCACACGTCAAACACTAGCTACCAAACACGCCACAGAGGTCGGGAGACCATACAACGATGGACAGGTTTGTAGTCTCCCCTGCCAGCTCGCCGTCTGCTGCAGACCCCGGCAGTGGTGCTGATGATGCAGGGGCTGCTGCGTCAGCAGCAGCAGCAGCTGCGTCAGCCGTCCAGCAGCAGCAGCACCAGCAGCAGCACCAGCCGGATGCGCCGGCACCGCCCGCAGCAAGCGACGAGGTGCAAGTGGTGGACACAGCGGTGGACCCTTCACGCGTGAGTGTGAAGGAGGCTGAGCGCCTCTTGAAGGTGACGAGGGTGCAGACCGAGGCACGGAAGTCAAAACCGTCTGGGGCCTCTGCGTACGCCTGGCGATACTTTAATGCATACGTCAAAGGGAACCTCAAGGCGTTTGCCGTCTGCAAGCTGTGCATGGAGCAGAAGGAGTTCGGCCGGGCAGAGATCAAGTACAGCCAGTCGCCATCAAACCTGTTGAGGCACCTCAACACCGATTTTGCCGGCCATCAAGCAGCCTTCGAAGACTGCACTTCAAGCCGCGCGGCGGCGGGAAATTCTGCTGTCAGCGCCGCGGGGGCGGCGTCGGGAGCGATCAGCGGCCTCAAGGCTTCGGCGGGGATCAACAGCTACTTCAGCAAAGACACCGCGGGCTGGCACCAACAGTTGGTGCGATGGATGGTGATGAACGCCATTCCCTTCTCGGTAAGAGGTGCAGGTGTGCATGTGTAGGAGTATTTAATAATATATTAGTAAATATCTGTTTTCAATATTATTTAGCCCGGTAATTATTAATTATTAATGTACGAAGTAGTAGTTTTGTTCTTTTTAAACCTACAGATTTAAATTATTAATACGAGGTATTTTAATTTATTACTACGCTCGTTATTACTTCGTAAATTATTTTGTTTCGAGTAATATGCATAGGAAGTCATTTCAATTTCTTTCAATTTCTGTACCAATGCTTGTAGTATCCATGCTTTCCCCCGTTCGCATCTAAGCACCAAAAGCTATCGAAAGCCAAGTACGAAAAATTATAGAAACATTGTTCTTTTCACCCCCCACGCATGGCAGAAACAGATGCACCAGTAGGTCGGCCTCTTGTTTTCTTTCCGACGCTCTTTTTTTTTGTACATAGCTTCTAGCAGTAGAACACTCATGATGCTAAAGATTCATGATACATGACACATTCTTCCTGCTGTTTTTTCGTCGTCAGTGACATCTCCATTCTCGAATTCCCACGTCCGGTCCTCCCTTCCCCTCTGAAACTCTCGTACAGATGCTAGCGGATAAAAGCTTCAAGGCTATGGTACACGCCATACGCCCAAGTGCCAGAATCCCAGAGAAGAAAGACTGCGTGACCACCATGCGTACTGTCAAGAAGTCCATGATGGAGAAGGTGTCAAGACTGATCGAGGGCGAGCACGTTTGCATCACCTCCGACGGCTGGACCTCTTGCGCCAACGACACCTACATGTCGCTGACGCTCACCCTTATCACCAGTGCCTGGAAGCTCGTCACTCTTTCGGTGGACTGCAGTAAGTCGGAAGGAACGACGACAGGTGATGCTCTTGCTGCTGGTGTCAAAGCCGCGGTGGCGAAGCATGGTCTGACTGGCAAAGTCACCGCTGTTACAACTGACTGTGAGCCTTCAATGGTGAAGATGGGACGCCTTCTCGAAGGAGACGCTACCGTTTGCACCCACATTGGCTGCTGCAACCACCGGCTTGAAAGCACCACCTCCATCGTCTTCAACGGGCCGGGGATCAATAAGGTCATGGCCATGGCCCGCGGCTTGGTATCGCGATACACGACATCGAGCCAGGCGGCCGACAGGCTCAAGCAGTTTGTCAAGACCTACCTTGGTGTTGACAACAAGCGGGTGATCCAGGACGTGGTCACCAGGTGGTGGTCCACATGCAGCATGGCAGCGCGACTGATAGAGCTTGAGGTACCTATTAAGATGCACGAGGCGGCGGACAAGCTGGACCCGCTACTTTCGGCGGCAGACTGGGCGGTTCTTAAGATGATATTGCCTGTCCTGGAACCGTTCAGAAACACCCAGACTTTGCTTGAGGGCCGCAAGTATGTGACGGGTAGCTTAGTGATACCCTTCATCTACGACCTCCGCAACAGCCTCGAGGACGCGGTCGAAGATCTCGCCGAGCTACCGCCCGACTCGGACGCCAACGTGAACACGGCGAGGGCGGCGGCGATGCCGTGCATCAAGGCGCTCCGAGACGATTTCATCAACCGGTGGGGAGACGGACGCAACATCCTGATCTACAAGGAGGGCCGCAGGCGGCAACCAGGTGTTTTCAAGCCTGTGCAGGTGCTAGCAACCGCGCTCGACCCTCGCACGAAGATCCTGTATGGAGTGGACGAGGAGGAGAAGGCCGACGTTTGGAAGCTCGTGGAGGAAGAGGCGGTGAAGATCGCGGTAGAAACCCGCAATTCGGAGAACTCTCAGCGCGCCTCGTCGCAGCAAGGACCAGAAGCAGCGGCAGGACCGACATCATCGCCCACCAGTGCGGGTGCAGAAGAATCCTCGAGAAAGCGCCCGCGCCGTGGTGGTGGTGGGTTCATGGCGGCGGCGCAAGCGGTCGGAGGCGCACGAACCCCGCAGCTGGACGAAGGCGCTGATAGCTCCTTCGTGCGCCTCATCACGAGCTCGGTGCGGGTCGAGCTCACGGCCTTCAAGGTGTCCACAGGTATCAAGATGTACGAGGAAGATAAGGAAGGCGCAAAGGTCTACCTTGACCCCTTGGACTGGTGGCGGGTACGGTGCGCAGACTTCCCGCACTTGGCCAACCTCGCCCGCCGTGTGCTGGCGATCCCCGCCACTCAGGCAGAGTCCGAGCGTCTGTTTTCCTGCGCTGGAAACATCGTCACGAAGAATCGCAACAACTTGGCCCCGACCACCGTCGAGCTGCTCGTCCTTCTGCGCCACTCCTGGAAGATAGTCGAGGAATGGGAGCAATCGAACACCCCCGCGGCCGCGAAGAGGGGCTAGGGTAGTGACTGTCTTTGATGGGGAGGATTTTGTGTGCTAGCGGCAGTAATTTGTGCGCAGTGTAGGTTTCGGTTGGGTAGCTTTGGTGCTGTTCGTATCTGTAGCATTCTGCATTCTAGCAAGCTGGTGCTTCTTTTGTTGCGCACCTCCTGTCGTTTCCCGTTTCCTGGTTAGCTTTTTACTTTTTAGCTCTTAGCTGGTTTCTTGGTATACGTTCAGGGCTGCCGTGTCGTTGTGTCCTTCGTAGAGTCCAGTATACGATAGCGTCGCTCATCAACCCAACTGATGGATGCCACTTGGTTGCTTGGGAGTAATATTATAATGTTTCAATATTTCCTCATGTCCAAAACCAACAAATTCAGTCGTTGAACTCGAACTTTCTATCGTTTTCCCCGCGATAGTGCCTCTGTCAGATGGGCCAAAATCACTCATTTTTTTTGCTCTAGTGAAGCCAAATCGCGTACAAAAGCGCCTCCGGCGGGGCGCCTCCAGCGGGGCCCTCCGGGGGCGCCTCCGGCGGGGCCCCCTCACCAGCCGGGGGGGGCCGATGGTCGCGGCTGCGCCGCGACACCAGTGTACTGATCGGATCCAGTTTACTGGTTGCTGACGCAGCCAGTATACTTTTTACTGGCGCGCAGCGCCAGTACCCAACCCTACGAATACCTCTGTTTTCTTTTTGGCGGCAACCATAATGGTGATCGAGTAGATTATGTTGTGCGGGGTCGAGAACCCTCACTCCGCGCAAGGGGGATGATCGCACCACGTTGTGTCTAAAAGGTCAAGCACCCTCGAGGCAGTTACCCAGTGCTAACAACTGTCTCAAGAAGTGAAAGCACCAGAAAATAAATTAAGTCATACGCAGCTGTCATCCGTACGCAAGCAAGTAAGCACAAGATGCCGAAAACCCTTAGCAGGATGCAGCGCACCCTTCATGCGACTCGCCGAATATCTCACGGCGCTTCGCGCTTGGTGATGTGAGAGCCTGGTCCGGTGAGAACTCGGCGTGCTCCGTCCCAGCTTTGTAGGGATGCGAGGTCAATGGTCTAACGACTACGGCATGCACGACTATGAGTACCCCCCTCTCCCCATGTCCGTGGTGGCTCAAGAGAGGTGGGTCTAAAAGATCCAATTCCCCCGGATGAACGCACATTCCAATAAACACAAACAGGAACAGAATCGTCCAAAGCAGAAGCGAGATAAACTAATTTAGCGCCTTGAAAATATATCGAAAGCAGCACTCTTGCCGTGCGTGCCGCTGTCTAGTCTTTTGTACGCATCAAAGGTGTCAACTAGAAGAAGCCGGATGGTGCACGCACACCTCTGGTCTCAAAGAACAATTGAACCTGACACGCAACCACGCAACAACGCGTGTACAGGCACTGGAGACGCCTCCACCTGCCGCTCCTCCTGCCCTGCTGAGCTGTATGAGTCGAGGGGGATGAAGCCCTACGACGTCCTGATGGACGTTTACGCGCTCCACTGGATCGCGGAAAGCGCGGGGGGGATCGTGGTGAGTCTCGAGAGCCGACCGGCGTTTGTTTTTTTTGTAAGAATCGTGAAGAAAGTTTGTATTCCAGTTGTGCAGGAAGTAGGAGAAGAACAGAAACTCACGCGCTTCGCTGGCATCAAGAAGTGGGTTCTTCGGAGTTTCGGCCGCGAGAAGGACACGACCTGTAAATATTGTGGTGGGCTGTTGTTGGCCTTGGACGAAGTAGGTGGAATCATTCCTGGGGCGTGCGCTGAAACCAAAAGTTGTTGTCGTTATTGTAGATTTGTTGAGTCACCCGATTGGATCTTGAGAGCCAGCTGTGCCGCTCGAAAGAGCGGTCGTTGTCGACGGGAAATGTGTAGGTTGTGGCTGCTATATATTCGTTTTCGGTTTTCTCTTTCTTGTTTGCGCATTGTAATTTTAGTTTTGCGAGCCCTTACCCTCCGCGAACCTCGAAGTGGACGGAGGTGTTCCCATGCTCTCGTTCGATTCCCTGCAGCTTCCTCTCCGCCAACTATGAATGCCTGGTTCCCTCGCTAGATGCCAGGTTTATGTTAATACCCGCAGCTTAGACAACTTCCCTTGTGCTTGTTTTAGGTGGTTGCACGCCATTCGGTGTTCCGTACACTGCTGTGCTCTCGAACTACTTGATTTTCAGTCGCTCTCTTTGCCCCCCTGGTCCATCCTTGTATACCGTAGATGACACAAGATAACACACCCCCTGGACCGATTTTCAAAACTCGATTTCTCGACAGCAGTAAGAGTTACAGCGCGGAAAACGGTGGAGTTGAAGCTGTCTCGTCTAGAGCTTTCCGAAAACGTATTGTTTCATTTATGCATCCTCTTCGTTGTCGCATAATCGAGCCTTGAATATTGGTCCACGGGGTTTGTTATCTTGTGTCACATACGGTAACTTCGCCTGGGCCGGCGACAAATCGGCGCATCGCCTCGTCGCGGCGTTGTTGGTAGGGATGCGAGGCCAAAGGTCTTGACGACTACGGCGTGCGTTTAAGTGAGTGCACCCCCCCCCCCCCCCCCCCCCCCCCCCCCCCCCCCCCCCCCCCCCCCCCCCCCCCCCCCCCCCCCCCCCCCNCCCCCCCAACCGTCCCGACACCCATGTAGGTGTGGGACAACAACACGGAGCACTTCACGGTCGCGGGGCACGAACACGACGCAGAGTTCATGGAGGGGCTGTGGACCAAGGTGCTCACCTCCCTCTGCGACCCCGGGTAAGCTTCGCCCCCAGCAGTACCGTGGTGGCCATTAAAGTTATGTACGTTTTCCTCTCCTTTTTGTCGTGAAGACGCGAAAATTGTACCACTTGGCGGGTGGGCGGTTTTTCTCCTGCTTGTCTTAAAAAGAACGGTGCACCCGAACCTGTCTTGCCTTTGTGCAAAACTACCCTCTGCCTTTCGATGGTTGTGCGGACATAGGGTTCGTGGCCTTGTAAGCCTCCTACAACACGCGGTTGTGCTTATTCGCTCGTTGATTTTCACGCTGAGAGTTGCAAAGTAGAGGCGGCAATTGGCCGTGTGCCCCCAACTGTCTGCGTACAACGCATGCATCCGTAGCGTTCGGCAGCCCGGTGCGCCCCCCGTCGTCGCGTGTTCTGTATATTGTCTTACTCTTCCTCACCTGTTGGAGCCTCGACCAACCCCGCTACGCGCTTGGAGCTGGCTGGGGCCACAGGATTGTCGTAGACAAGAAACTCTTGACACACAACCCCGAAGCATGCTGCAGCTGGAACCACAGGAGTTTCGAAAACACTGAGTTCTAGACACCCCGGCTACAGGATGCAGCTGAGATCATGGGAATGTCGAGCACAAGAAACACTCGGAGTATATTGGTAGACACCTCCGTAACGTCCTGCAGTGGGGGCCTTGGGAATGTGAGAATACCTGTCCCAGCTCCCCCTCCCCCCTTGCGTGCTTTTTTCATATTTTGTGGCAGGCATGTCGGCGAGCTGTACACGTCGTCGGCACCGTACGACCCCCTCTTCTGGGTCATTCACCCTACCGCCGAGAGGTTCTTGGCGTGGAAAAGGAAGCTGGCCAGAGAGCGACCAGACGTGTGAGTGTTGTATGCATGCATACATGCATCCCACATAAACGGTGGTAGGAGTGTTTGCTTTTTCGCCTCTTGGCCATGCATATGTTTACTGTTCGAGCGTGTCTTATTTGGGGTGAAGTTGTGTTGGGTAGTTTTGTGAGCGACGCACACGAGCGTGGGGCATTGGTGAGGGCAGGATTTGCACCGGCGCACACAAAATTGCGTGGCCTTTCTTCTTGATGGGGAGAAGTGGGGGTGGCAGAGATGCCAAAGAGTCGGACGTGTCTCGCGCGGGGCCTTGTGGGTGAGCTCTCGAAGATGTCTCCCGCTCGTGAGATGATGAAACTCAAAGTACCTCGTAGTAGACGAGGGGGCAACAGACAGACAGACAGACAGACAGACAGACGAACAGACAGAGACAGAACGTCTTGAAGATGATGCCGACGAGTCGAACGGTGCCCTTGAACCGTAGACGAGACACCCGCAGACAGGATGTGCCCCACACGCGCTGCTTCTCAATCGTTCGCCGTTCGTTTGTGTTTGAAACTCTCTCTTCCCCCCCCCCCCCCCCCCCCCCCCCCCCCCCCCCCCCCCCCNNCCCCCCCCCCCCGGCCACCGCTGCCACAGGCACCCCTTCAGTGAAGACTGGGGCTACACCCACGGCAATGTTGTCGGGGAGACGGGGATGGTGTGCGACTGGTCGGGAGTACGGCAGGGCACCCTCGACATGCCGACGTGCGTCAAAGGCATCTGCGGGGGACACTCCGCGGGGGACGTGCTCCCTTTTGGAGTTAAGGTGTGATGAAAATTGTTGTACTACCATAGGGTCGAAAGAAAATTGTGATTCTCTTTTTGGTACTCTCCTTGTCTGGTACTATTTGTACGGTCTAGACCTTGTTTTTTGTCCATTTTTTTATCTCTGCCTGGAAGGAGACCACGAAGTATGACGTTTTTTGCCCTTGGTTGGAGCATTGTTATTGTCTTGAGGTTGATAACCGTTCGGTTTCTACCCCGCACCGTCTGGTACATCCGATAGTTTTTTTATGGAGAACTTGAGTTCGTGCGATTTGGAAAAGGTAAAGACTGACCGCAGTGTCTTGCATGATCAGGTTGTGTCTCTTTGGATGAGGCGCGCCGCTTGATGAGCAAACCCTCACGAAGCTAAAGCTTTTGACAACATGATGAACGCCCCTCCCTCTGTTCTTTCTTCTCCCGTCTCTCTCTCTCTCTCTCTCTCTCTCTCTCTCTCTCTGTGTCTCTCTATCTATATATCTGTATATCTCTCTCTATTCCGCTCTCTCTTCTCATTCTCTCTCTCTCCCTACCCCCTTTGGAAAAAAAAAAAAAACGGTGAAGATCGGCGGGGAAGTGCGCAAGATGACCAACGCGGAGTGGCTCGACTTCATATACCCGGACAACGAGGAGCTGCCCTACATGTACGACAGCTTCGGCTGGGACCACTGCGCGTGAGTGCCCATGTATATGCAACAGCGGGACACCCGTTTGGCTGCTTGCTATGCAGCTGCCGAGACGCCCGTTTAGCTGTTTTCTTTTCAAGAGCCGAGACGCCAGTCTGGCTGTTTTCTATGAAGCTGCCGAGACGCCCGTTTGGTTGCTTTCTGTGCGACAGCCGAGCCTCCCGTTCGCGATTCTAAACAATCGTTCTGGTGGCGAATCGAGAAGTATGCCGCAGCGTCGGCGAATGGGGATTTGCTGGTTTGTTGTTGCACTCGTAACGAGGATTATTCCCTGGCCAATTATTCGACTTGGGGCCTATGTACATTCCGGAGGTGGTTGCAACTCGACGGACGTTGTGCATGTACAGATGGTTGCAAAGGTATTCATGTATTTCCGTGTGTCGTTTTATTGTTGGCAACATCTGTTACCGGGTAGATGGATATACTACAGGATGTAGATACCTTGGCCACATTGTCGAGTGTGTATGTGCGCGTGAAATCTTGGTCGGGCTCACCTCGGCATGCTCTTCTCTGGTTTTCCCGACCACGAACTCTTCGCGCGTTCGCGGTTGACACCTGATACCGTATGAGATCGTCCCCGCCGCCCCTACCCTTTGTTTGTGCGTTTCAAGAGCGGGGCGAATCCACCTCGTGGCACCTTGCGTTACGGCTACTGCAAAGACTAACTTTCCTCTCCCCTCACCCTCTGCTGTCGTAATCCGCCGCCGTTTGACAAGCAGAGCTAGCGGATATCTGATAGGAGCTCCTGCACCTGAAGGCGATGACTGACTTGCCGATAATACTTTTCTCATGTTTTTTCTGCTGGTTGAAGAAGGGTTCTGGTGGAAGAAAGCGAACCGCCGGAGGTTAAGAAACGTCCCTTCATTATTTGGTCTTTTCCATCATTTTTATGCTGTGTGTTTCGGGGTGGGGGAGCGTGCAGGGCTTTTCGGACGAGAGAGATGCCGTTGCCGTTGCCACAGGTGCATGGGGCTGAGGCCGTCTTGTGCCGGGAAGTAGGGACTCAAAGGAGGGTACCGGGTAGGTTTCGCGTGTTTTTTTTTTTTTCGAGTGTGTGTGTGTGTGTGAAAGGGTGTGTCTACGTGCTGGTGTCTCGCATCGCACGAGTTTTGTCCTCGGCATTAGCGTGGCATCTGTTGCTTGGCGTGAAATGTCCATGTGTATGGTGGTGTTGATCGCGCAAGGCTATGAATGCTGCGTGGCCTTGGTGTGTAGCGTTTGCGGTTTAGAGTTACCACCGCTTGCCGTGCCACACGCGCGTAGCATTGTGTACCATATGTGTCTTTTGCTTGTTGGTTTTTCGAGGCGTGTTTGCTCATTCTTGGTAGGTATTGTTCCGATATCTACGAAAGAGATTTGCGTGTCGTGCGACCACCTAGAATGCGCGCGATGCAGCCTTGTTTCCGCGCCCAGCTCTGTGTCCGCCTCGCTACCCTGTTGATTACTACTTCGAAGTATTTGTTTTTCCTTTGATTTGCGCTTGTCGTTGGTTGACCAATTTCCCCTGTGCTTGACGAAGTACCAAGCGTTGCTGGATGAGCTTCTCTCGAGCGGTAATGGCCAGGGGTCGATGGTAGTGTTGCCGTAAAATTGGTTTTAATTTCGGTGTAATGTACCATGAGAGACTTTCGGTCATTTTTGAGCGCTTGCAAGCTGTGGATTTTTCCGTTTTACAACACATTTTTTGTGACGTTTACCTTGCCTGAGTTGTTTGTTTGGAGAGTTTTCTCGACAAGCACGCGTCGCCTTACGTTTGTCGCAAGCGTTCCTGGTACGTGCCTTTGATCAATACGGGTTGTTCCTTTAGACCCTTGACGTTTGGCTGTCGCTATTGCATGCACCCGAACTAATAATAACGAGGCGGTGCCGAATTCGACCTCGACAATGTTGGTCGTGTCTGTTGCTGTTGTTGCTGGGGTTGTTGGTTGGTTGTGTTCGCATTGGAAACCGTACCGGCCTCGATGCGTCATGTTCCCCGCCCTGGTCTTCAGGGAAGAAAACACAACATTCGGTGGCTGCTCACAGATGAACGTGAACGAAAAGAGATCGATCCAGAGTTGGAAGTCTCACCACTCGCAGGAAACGATGGAATGAAGAGTTTGCCTGCCACACACTATCCAAGGCATCGAAGGAGTGATGGACCGTGCAACAAGACATGCAAGCTTCAAGTTCGAGGGTTCACCGCGTTGTGGCAAATTGGTACGGACTGAGTACCATTGGAATGAAGAGTGGGGTGACGCCCGGTCGCACGCAGCGAAAAGCGATCATCCACCGCGAATTTGTCCTGGGACGTTGCTCGCCACCAGTAGGGTTGGTCTCTTGTGAGGCAAAGAAGTACTGGTCTATCGTGGAGCATCCCTGGTGAAAGAGGGATGTTGCTCGTTGCTCGGAGATGAATGTGTGCGTCCGGGTTGGCGTCTCTGTGGCAACCAGGATACAGCTCTTTCGTCGACGGGAGAACACAACTCTAAATCACTAATCGTCTCAAGCGTGTCACCATGAATAGGGAGATGGTTTGACGTTCTACCATCGAAGGTTCGTTTTTTTGTAGTTGTGGTGTGACCAGAATCGTCAAACAATCGTGGACGAGGTGCTTGCATACTGGAACAAGCAAGCGTGGTTCAACAAAATGGCGGAAGATGAAGGTGGGACCTTCTTCGTCGACACTCATTGGCCTAGACTACATTCTTTTCCTTCCCAATTTTAATTTTTATCAAGATCCGAAGGCGTCCGCGTCAGTTGGACCAGTACGGACATCAGAAGGTGTTGAGCGGAGACCGGAAGGGTTTTTAATGTGAAGAGAACAGCGACAACAACAACAACAACAACAATCCTGTTCGAGACATCAGGCGGACCGCTGTTCCTGGAAAAAATACTCGGACCAAGGGAACTTGGCAGTGCGTCTACATCTAGCTAGGAAGGATACTCTTAACCTGACTTGGACGTTGTCCGCCCCTCGTTACGTTCGCCGAAAATCAATTTCTCTCTCTGTCCATAGACAACAAGTTTATTTACGAGGCTCTCGGTTTTCTGAATGGAGGTGTAGTCTAGACTAATACAGTATCGTATTCGCAGTTGTGCTCATGTAGCATAGTCTAGGATAATGTAGGATAATGTAGACTATGTCCGGTTGGACGTGAACAGCTCGTCCACAATTGATTGAATCCTTTTCTATTCGATGTCTGTTACTAATGCGGCGGCTACAGCCTCCCCCAGCATCCTCAAGCTACCGTGCGCAAAAAACAACGGGTTTCCGCCACCTGCCGTGGCAGCTCAACCGAGTGACCGATTGCTTCAATTTGAATTTGCCAGTAACGAATTTTCACCTTCCGTAGGAACTCTACAATCTGTCTACGACATTATTTATGGATTGTTTCCTTCCCAAAAAGCTAAGACCAAACCACATAGACCCTATCTCTCTACAACAAAAGCTCTACCTTTCTTAAGCTATACCAAACCACACCGTTCGAGACCGATGTTATTTTCCTCTACAAATTACCAGCGAGCAACTAGTGGCGTCGCTCGCACAAGGCTACCAACCTTTACCGCACCCGAATGCACCGCGACCGTTTCGCAGCCTTTGATTTCGTCCGCGAAACCCCAAGCAGCATGGTCTAAGAACGCCTCGGGGCCGGACCAACGTCAGCACGTTCAAACCACACTACTACAGCACTTTTTCATCTCACGCACGGTTCGCTTCCACCCAGCAACTCTCACCCATCGTCATCTGCAGAAACGAATATAGCCCAGGGCAAAATACTCTTCATATAGTCTATATTGTCACACGCGGGATGGCATTCGAATATGTATGCGAGAAGTATTGACTTCGTCCCCAACCGCACACTACATACACACACGTACCAATTCCCGAAAGCCTACCTCTCTCTCCCGTCGTGGAGCGCGTTGCGTGGCAGTCACTCACTGCATTACCACGGACAGGGTCATCGCTGTTGTTGCCGCAGCAGCGATGACCTCGGAGCGAGTATAACAACGCTCTCCATGATTCTTGAAATAATTGCAGCTGAATCTCTGTCTAGCCCCAGTTTACGCCGACCTGTCGAGCGTTTTTTGAGACAAGAAGCACAGGCAGTCGTGACAACAAGGGGGGGATAGGACTAGGACTACTAGATAGACTATTTGCTGCTCGGTTAGAAGGCCAGTTGCCGATTACCGGGCAGCGTTCATGCCGTGCAAAACTAGGTTGTTTGTTTTGTTGTTTAAACTAGGTTGTTTGTTTTGTTGTTTTTCTTCCATGCATGATTGAACTCTGTCGTCTGCCCCTCTGGCCCCTATCTCCACTTCTACCAGCTTGACGACCCAACCGGGGTCACATAGGAGGGGGAGGTTGGACCCCCTCCTGCGGTTCTTGCCTGAGATATTTTTATCGCGAGAAGGGCACAGCAATCCCTTCCCTCGCGACTCATGAAGTCGGTCAAGTTTTTTACCAACAACGAGCTTTGCAGCGCGTCGCTTCCAACGAAATCCAGGATTTAAGGGTACCCGGACAACCTCCTGCTATGTTGCCTCATTTCGAAAACAAACGCAAGAGCGCCAGAAAATGCACTAGAGACACATAAGACCAGTCGGAAGGCATCGCAAAAAAAACAAGTCCAAAATTCTGGCACAGGGCAGCAGTAGAGACCGCTCAAAACGTGCTTTTCGCGCGTCTACCTCCACACACATCTTTGAAACCAAGATAAAAATCCACACCAGTCTAAATTCACGTCAAAAGAGCCCAAACGGAAGGCGCTCAAATAAGGCCAGTGTTGCTAGGAACCTGGTCCATTGTGCCAATATCACTAGAGGACACCCTATAGCAGCGGGGGGGTGTGTTGGCGCGCTCAAAACTTCTTCTGTGGTGGTGGTATCGAGTGTCGTTGTAGTGGCCCACAATCTCCGCAAATCTCCGCAAGTTAGATCGACACCCAGTGTCTTGTACTGCTTGTGCTCGCCGCCACTGAACCCAATCTTCTGAACTGCAGGTTTACAGCAGTAGCTGATGCCACCAGCTACTGCTGACAACCCGCAGTTGAGGGGTTTGCGGTCCGTGGTGGTGAGCACCGCTGTGACAAGTGTTGGGTTCCGCTTGGTTCCGGCGCAGATTTCGGACCGTTTTCAGAGGCTGCTGCGACCTTCGATATTTCAGCCCCAGTAGTATACCTGAACGTGCCAGCACGCACGACGCCTCTTGCTGATATCCTCTACTGATACTAGCACAACGGACCAGGTTCCTCCGGCGGGAAGGTTGTTTTCTTTCTTTGTACTGTTATAAAGTATGAGAAAAGAGCCAGCGTCAAAATCCCTTGTCTGGGTACCCTTTTAATTAGAGAGAAAAATTGCACTCTGTCGGGACTCGAACCCAGGACCTGGCCCTAAGCAGGCTGCGAGGCTAACCACTAGACCACCGGGGCGACCGGTCTCCCTCCAGGGCTCTTAAACCGGTCTCTTCTCAAACGAAGTTCGCGGTCCATAAACAACTCATTCGTCGTCCGCGGGAGACTAATTCTCAAGGTTGTCGAGCCATATGGTATGTTGCTCGTTCCCTTTTCGAGATCGTCGTACTTGAACCTCCCAACAATCGATAGCACTTGGTTTCGTCTCCAGTGATGTAACAACGAAGGCCAGGACATGGCGTAACGAACACGCAGAGTTTCTTACGGTATTTTCACCCGGAAAGGTTGACTACCATGGCCCGGGGTGGGGCGGGTGGGGACACTATTGGAAGACGATGTACACACGTGGACCAGATCTTACCGCAACGCCTGTAGCCCCGTCATCAGCGTACGAGTTAAACCCCGCCCGATTCGTTGTACCGTTTGCTGCCAGCAGTGACGGACGCTGCTGTTGCCTTTGCGGTTGGTTCATCGCTTGATACACTGGGCTCCGAGACTGTTCGCTCCATCGAGGAGGGGGGGGATAGGGGGGTTACCGCGTAGCAACAACATTGGGAGGGAATTATTCAGACAGCTTGTGGTTCGAAACTCCATGCTTTCGACATGTATTTGTGGACAAAGCAATTTTTTCCCTGCCTTCATGGAGACGTTCTTGCGTATGCGAGGAGTGGCGAAAAAAGTGTACACGCGAACGTATCTACTAGCGTACTGTGTTTTTACCCATTGACGGGAAAACTATGCCCAAAAGAGCACAGGCAAGCGCCGTTTTGAAGTCGAGGTGCGCAGAATAGACTCTCCTCTCGAAAAAAAACTGGTTATTCCTATTACCATATGCATATATCATTCTCGTGTTGTCCCAGCCAAGCGAAGATAATTATGTTCATCCTCTTGCCCGTGTACCTCGGTCTTGTTTCGGGCGATTGCCTTCGGGACTGCCGGTTGTGGTTCCGGGCTGCTGCCGCGCGGTGGCGATCCGGCGGGCGGCTGTGTTTTTTTCCACGAACAATAAGGGTCGAGCGACCAACAAAAAGATACATGGACGCAAAAAAGGCGTTTGTCAAATTTTAAGTAAGACATAGACCACAATGCGGTGATGAGTATCTCTTCCGTCATTCTGAGACATAAACCGGTCCGTATCGCCGACTTTGGTGAAAGTGGTAGCTGTGGCGCGAACGACCGCCTTCAAGACCGACCAGGGTACTGTCTTTTCGATGAGCGCCTTGCTCGCTCAACGTCTTTCAGTCGAGTCACAAGTAGATAGAGCAGCTTTTTTTTTGGCAGGCGTGCAAGCCCACGGTGATTCGTTCTCGTCAGAACCATTCGCATTACAGTGGTGGTGGAATTTGCAGCATCTTTGTGACCTTTCCTGCCACGAGGTAGACTCACAAGATGGACGGACATTCACGTGGAGTCTTGAAAATCAACGCTCCCACGCGCTCACTAATGACGTAAAACCTCTACGTTGTTGGTGTTGATCAATATTCCGCGAGCACGTATCGGTCCACGACTAGAGGAAAAGCGTCGTCTATTGGGACTTTGACTCCAACAACGACGAACAGCAAGAACAACCGAGGATCCGGTGATCCAAGGGGCTGAACAATACAGCGCTTGCTTGCTTTTGAACGTTTCGAGTTCTGCAATCAATCGCGTTGTGTGCACGCTATCTAGATCTGTTGTTGGAAACTCCTGGCGTTGAAAATCCGGACAGCGGCCGTCTATTGACCGCGGCAGGAAACCGTGCTTGTCTCGCCGCGCTCATACCTCGACAACAAAGAAGCCCCCACCGGCCAGTGCTTCTTTGGCAAAACGTTGGCAACCCTTCCGACGCCAATCCTTTCATAAACAAATGGACCATTCCTGCTGTTGTGGGGACATCGACAATGGCACATCGACCTGAATGGTACACGGTACCTCGGATTGAACGAGACGTCGAAGCCGAGGTGGGGAAACGGCCTGGTGGTGTTGGTGACCTGCAGCAGGCGGGGCCGCCGATAAGGGCTCTATCCTGCCCGAGTCGCCGTTGACCTCTGCCACCATCGATCTCGCCAGCCGGCCTCGCTGCTCGAGCTGCCTCTGCCGCCTGCCCTCGACCCTCTCGCTCCAGCCCCCGTCCCCCTGTCCGAAGCCGGACATTTTCCCGAGGGGTGCGCTGCTGTTGACCGGCGACCGGTTTCGCGCCCCTCGCGTGCTGCTGGTCGGTAACGGGGCCACACGCCCGGCAACAGCGCCCGCGCCCGAGCTGCTCTTCAAGCCGTATCCGTCGCCATCTGCTCGATCCCGTCGTCTCTGAGGGTGGCTCGGTACGAGACCGTCGGCGCCCGCGGGTCCCGTGTTGGTGGACAATGAGCGATGTTGATCTGGCGGGCGCGTATGTGCACCATCACCGCCACAACCACCACCACGCCCGTTGCCTCGCCGCCCCCCAGTAGCTCCGGCTGCCGGCCAGTCTTTCCCTCTCTGCGTACCCTCTCTTGCCCAATTTCTACTTCTATCTCTACCCCCGCTAGTGCCACCGCCGCCACCCGCCCCAACGCCGCCGGCTCCCCGCGGGTGCCTTTGCCGGCCTTCGCCTTCGATATCGGCGTTGTCTCTCCTCCTGTTAACTCGCACAACCCCGGCTTCCTCCTGCACAAAGAGAAAAATAGCATATACCACAATCTTATCTCAGCTGGTTGGTGCCGTGTGTGTGCCCCAAAACATGCCGTGACGGTTCGTTTCAAACAACATCAAAAAACGAAAATGGTAACACCTTCGACTGTTCTTAGTACACCCACCGTCGTACATCTCAGTTCAAATACACCCATTTACAAATTATGGCAATCGCACCTCTCTCGCGAGTCCCCCTATCGCCCTCCGACCGCCGCCGCAACTTCGCGGCTTGTCTTTCCTCGGGGTGGCCGGTGCAGGGGCAGCGGCAGGGCCGTCGCGTGGGCGCCTGCTCCTTTCTTCCGGCAGTGTCGAAGGGGGGAAGGACGGGTAGTCGTACCCACCGCCGACGCCGCCACCTCCGCCGCGGCGGCGGCCCCCTGGCCAGGTCCCGAAGGACTGCTTCGGGGGTTGGGCGGTGGTGGCTGCGGCGGGTTGGGGTGCCCGTCGTCGCGGGGTTGCGAACGGGGTCGAGAACGCCGTGCCCTCTTCGTTGTAGTTGTAGTCGTTGTTGTTACCTTGACGGTCTCTGCCCCCCCCACGGCGGCGGTCGTGGTCGCCGTCTTCTTTGAGACCGAAGTCCCTCGCCTGGCCGTGGCGGCTGCGGCTAGTCGCTCCGACGGGAGCCGCCGCCGCAGCAGCAGCAGCAACAGCAGCGTACCCGGCACGCCCAAAGTAGGCGTCGGCTCCTTCGCCGGTAATGTTGTCGCGCCTGTCGTTGCTGTTACCGCCGCTCCTCGCGCCGTGTCGTGCCACGCCCCCCTTCTCGTTAATCTCTGTGCTTCTCTCTCTCCACAACGAAGACATTCTTGACCGGTTTGATTCCGCCGCCGCTCTTCTGGGTTGCCGACGGCGGGGGCTCGTATCACCGTCTTCAAAACTAGACCCCTGATCGCTGACATCTCTCAGTGCCGTTGCTTGATGGCGGGCGCACCTAGCATCCCCATCGACTACTCGGCCGTCTCCGAATTGCTCGGCTCGGTGGTGCCGGTAATGCTCATCGTCTAGCTTGCCATCTCGTCGCTGCTGCCGCGGCCGTCGCCGTCGCCGCCGCCGCCTCCTGTGGTACTCTCTGTCTTCCCCCCCAACCGACGGGTCGCTCTGGCCACCCAGTGCGGCCGTTTCGAGGTTTACTCCTCTGCCTACTCTTTGACGACGACGGCTTCCACGGTCATCGTCGTCATCGCTGTCGAATCCGAAGCCCCTTCGACGACTCCTGGCCGGACGGTGCCGCTCTTCGTAGCTCGATGAATTGTCCCTCGCCCGGCGTACAGGCGCCCTCCCCAGCCGCCTTGGGCCCATCTTGTCCTCCCCGCGTCCCAACCCTTCCCCTCCGTCTCTCACGTTGCCGAAACCTCTGGTGTCTCGTGGCGTCACCCTCCGGCCACTACCGCCCCTTCCGCCAGCGCCTTCCACACCGCCGCCTCTGTCCACGAGATCGCTGTCAGGGTTTGCTCTTCTTTGGTCCCCTTCAACGTTGCCGTGGGCTCTGCCTTCCCGCTTTGCTGGGTCCGTGTTGGCGAACGCTTCGCCAGGGGCGTACCTCCGCCACCGTTTGTCCGATTCTTCTTTTCCGCGGGCGTCTTTTGCTGCCGCCTTGCCTCTGCCCTCCCCGCCCGTTCGCCTCGATTCGTGAAACTCCTCGGCGTTCCTTTTTTGCGCGTGCCACGTAGGGTACAGGGACAGGAACTTTGAGTACGCTGCAACGCGCGAAGAACAGCAGCGATGAAGATTCATTCTACCAGGCTGTGCTGCTGTTTGCCATCGCAAAGTGGCAAGTGCTTGTTCGCGTTGAAGATATATTGGAACTTACGCAACAGGCACAATTCACCACGGTGCGCGGAGACGATTTTCAAACGAGGGAACTCCTCTTGTTTCAACACGGGAGCTCACATCCCGAAGGAACGGTGTGGAAGGCAGCCCGATTTTTTTAGGTACCCAACCCCGGCATTGGTGTGTGTTGTCCGACGAGTTGCACGCTACTGTTCTGGGAGGACCTCAAGCACGAATTTTGTTTGCCGTTTTTTTATTCTTTCTCGCAAGCTACGTTCAACACCAAACACATCTTGAAAGTAGGCCGCGAATCGTGCATCGAGAGTGGTGGAGAGGATTCTGCTGTTTTGGAGAGACGAGACAAGAACAACGTCCGACTTACGTGATGAAATTGACACTTGGGTTAGTCTTACGACCATCCGGGTGAGACTACGTGTCCAAGCCCAGGCTTGCATTGTATCCCGTAACAGAATGGTAAAAGGTCGCAAACAATCCCAAACACAACCATGTTGTAGTCGTATGGGTTTGAGAGGGTGACGACGAAACACGGGGGAGGAGTGCGAGCTGAACGGGGCGCCCACATCATCGCCTTGGCAAATGGTAGGGAGGATTGGGCTGAGGCAACATCCTTTCGGAATAAGGCCTTACCACAGCCTCCACATACCTCCCATACAAACACGATGCGGTTGTGGCAGGGGGGCGAAAAACCCACCTGGTTGATGCAGCTGGCAGCGAGGACGACCGCTTCCACCCGCAACCAACACCACCAGCTCGTCTACCACTGCTTTCGGGAACGTTCGGGCCGGTGGCAGCCAGCATCCTCATCATCTCCTCCTCCTCCAAGTCGCTCCTGCGGCGGTCGGTGAAGCGTTTGTAGATTTGAACTTTTCGTCTGCCACGCAACAAAAATGGGCGGAGTAACGGGGTAGGCGCTCAGGTTGTCATCGGAGGAATCCTCACTCGCTGTGTTAACGAAACAGTTCGACAGATCTTTCTCTCTCAAGGACATGAAACCCGTGACCCTGCTATTCATCGTTTGCAGGAGAGAGGACGGTCAACACGGGAGGAGGGCAACCCAGGTGCTGCGTCTCTGGAAACGTAGTGTTGCTGGAAGACTATGAAGTCCAAGGGTTTCTGCCATAAGTGGAGATGGGCCACTCGCGACCCTATGCTCAGACGCCGGCCAATGAGAAGCTGCAGCTTGAAATAATCGGTTGACATTGGTTGCTGGCCTAGGGATTCGTGACGAACCACGTACATACACCGCCTGCGGGGATAGTGAAGAAACCACCCCTGGGTTCGCTAGCACAAGCGAATAGAAATATAAATCCCCGCATTTCTGGCATCCCCCTTTTTTCCCATTATTGGTTCTCCGGACAGTTCCGTGAAGAGTTCGAAGACCATCGAAACTGCTACTGGCCACACATACCAGCGAACGAAGAACGACTGATGGCCGTTGCTTTTTTTGCTGAGTTGTACGATCACGTCAGAGCTTTGGTTCAGCAGAAACACGTGTGATCAGGACGATGGTAGCGTTGATTGGGCACTTGCATGAGCGCCGACTCTTGAAAAAGTGGATTGGTTTTGGGTATAGGCTGTGAAGAACTTGGAGTCACTGTCACTAAGCTGCCGCAATCGACCAACATGAGAGCGCAGTCGGTTCATTGACCCCTTTCGACCTACATGTGCAGCACCTTTTCTCTACGCCGCGGAATCTTGTAACCTTTCAGAGTGTACTGCTGCAGAAAAACGCGCGAGCTCACGGCCCCTCCCTGTCGTCATGTTTCTCGACAAGCTAGCGCCTCACGTAGGAGACTCACGTAGGAGACCTGCGTGCCACAGTCACAACACTCCACGCTCTTTGATCGAAAGGCATACACACTCGCGGATCTTGCTTTCTCATTTTCGTGTCCTGAAACGTCTGATTTATCTGTCTGACTGACAGAGATGATCGCCCGCCTCCGATGACAAAAAGCGTGCTTGCTTTGGTATTGACCGGTTATCCTGGTGGAAGTAGCCCTCCGTTGTACGTGGAACAGAAATCGGTTCGTCCTACCTTGCGTACCCAAACACCCTCTGTGTACCCGCTCGATCAGGTAGTGTTCGCTCCCATCTCACACGAAATTCAAGATGCCGGTGACCCGGTTCTCAACCCCCCCCCCCCGGAAGCGAGAAAAGTTTTTTTCGTGAATAGTTTGAGTCCCACCGGGGTGGGCAGGACGGGGAAACACTGACAACATATCCTGTTGTGTATTCTTGCCTTGCCGGTGGGGCTCGGAGATGCGCCGGGGCTATCCCCGCTAGGGGGGGTACCAATCCGTCCGCGAGGAGGAAAGCGTAAAGTCCCGCGAGAACCCGGCTAGCTGCCTCGACCCCTTCCTCCGCCGGCATCGGCACCTGCGATGCGAGCGAACGTACATGCACTTGATAGTTTTCCACCGGAAGAAAGGGTAATTCTCTGTCTTGGTCCTGCGAGTTCGAACGCTGTTTGGTTCACTTTACACAAGTCCCTCCTGGTAATACGCACCGAGTAGCACTTATTGGTGCAGTTTTCCGAAAACAGGGCAAACTTTCGAGTTCGCGTTCCTCAGCGAAAAGAGATGGATGAGTGATCACGACTCACGCGCTTCCTAAATTTCCAACAGCGTCAACCTTAGCCTTCTACAGAATGGGGCTCGAACGTTTTGCTCCGAACTCGGGCCGCATCGATTGGGTGATGAAAAAATGGAATGTGCAGGAGGAATTCTCCGCGGTTGGTGTTGATACCCTACGTGTTAGCAGAGCGCTCAGAGGATGATTTCGCCATTTTCAATCGCTTGAGGCATCTTCTGAGGCCTATTTCGACTCTCCCAGGCTCGTTGAGTCGGCATAGGGATGACCCCTAAGCGGCAGTACACCGCGCTGCCGTCCCGTCCGACAAGGGCACGACACGCTTGCTCCAAGTCTCATTTATATTTGAACACCTACATCAATCGACGGATCAACCTGCAGTTGTACCCGGACAAGGGCAAGTGTAAAAGCCACTGAAACGGGATGGCCGGCGAACACAACGCGCCGATGCACAACCAAGTGCTTCAGCAATAAATACTTCCTGCCAACGTGTTTTGCTGTCGTTTCTCGCCATCACCGTCCGCAAGGCGGTCCGACAAACAAAGCACAGCACCTGGTGCCACGTGCATCGATATGTCTATTTTCTGGTTCCTGTCATCATGGCAATTCGGCCCAATCTCTAGGGACCCGAGGTGACAGGCGGAACACCGTTTTGGATGCCTCGTCGCTTCAACTCGGCTCTAGCCGGAGGGAGGGAAGGGAAGACACCTACGTTGTGTGGCGTCTCTTGACAACAGTTCAATACGAAACGAAGCGTGAATCTACTGTATCGGTTGGCAGCTTGGATTTCGATCCACTTCGCTCCTCTTCCGCGTTTGCTCACCGTACACAGACACTGCACGTCCTCGCGGCGCAGAGAATAACTCCTTCTCCCAAGAAACTTCTGCACGAACTCCCAGTTGGCGGCCTTGTTGGCGGGACTGTTGCCGCGGTTGAAGTCCACGCTGTCGATCTTTCGCGGGTGGTAGTGAGCCAGGCATGCGCCGACGAGGTAGCCGTTCGCCATCTACCCTTGCGTGTGTACGGACAAGACAGGTGATTTGGGGCGTACGTACAAGATGTCACCGAACAAGCTGGGTCTTTCTCGATCCCTCTTGAGACTCACAAATACATCAACAGGTCCTTGAGGCAGGTACACCTAACACGACAGGCAACCGGGAGACCCACGGCGGCCGCACCGACTGACCTTGTGCCGGAGTTTGAAGTCGCAGTCAATCTCTCGACGGTCGAAGTGACTCCGAAACCACCGCAGCAATTTCTTCGCTTGTTCGTCCGTGGGGGATGCGACTCCAGGTGTCGTTGTCGTAGTAGCAGTCGCTCCGGTCGTCGTTGCAGTCTGCCGTACGTTAGACGACACCGGCTGCTTGTCCGCGCGATCCTCTTGACGAAGCTTGGTTGGCGTAGACTGCTGCGTTGATTGAGGTGATTTTTGGAGTGCCCTGCCGCTTGCCGCCACGGGTGCGCACCGGAGCGAGAGGTCAAGAACCAGAGAGACAAGAGGTCAAGAGGCACTTGCATGTACGAGGGATAACTAGAGGCGACGACACAAACGAGAACACGAGAGGTAAAACGAAAGCCGACGACGAAGTTCGTAATGCGGTGAACAAGAACTACGTGGCGGCAGATTGCAGGAATGAAGCGTGGACTAGTAATGGGAAAGACAATCGAATGACGTTGTCAATACCACAGAACACGACGTGCTTTCAAGTGTACATGTACATGAACCTGTAAAGCCGGGACCCTACCGTTGCAGCTTAGAATCGTTTCTCGTTTTCAGGCCTGGGTCTCTAGTCTTGTTCGTTTCTCCTTCGCACACACATACAATGCAGCGATGCCAGAATGATGGAACGGTTGAAACGATACAGGCTACCTCTCTTCCCGGTAGATCTTGTCAGCTTAGTTTTACCGCCTTGCACTGCTGCAAACCGTATCCAGAGTGAGTGCACATACACGCGAATACATGCAGATCGCGTTGTTCATCTTACCTATTGTCATTGTACGGGTCCTTTGTCGCTGGCACACCGTGCGAAGGTCCTGCCAGATCGCGCGGTGGCTTGGGAAAACGCGGGCCATGCATGGAAGGGGGTCGATCGGTAAGGGGCTTAGTGGGTGCCGACATGGGTTCCGATGTCGAGCCCCTTCTTCCTACGGCCCGTGTGCTATCCCTCGCAACCTGGCATGGTCCCTTCCCGAGATGGGTCCCTCTCCTCCCAAACGCCTTGGAAACCCGAAGTCATGTCTTGCACGTATAAAGCATGGACAAGCAACTTGCCGTCCTCTTTTTAGGAAAAAACTAAAAGCACACTCATGGTACAGGGCTCACCGTGGCTTCGGTCGGCCCCATCGTCCGTATAGGAACTGCCCCTCCCTCGACCCTCGGGCTAGTGAGTCTCCATGATGTACCGGCGTACTTCCCCAGATCTCCGGAGAGGCTCGCCGCATCGACCTCTAGCTCCAAGGTGAACTTTAACCCCTTGCCCGCCGTCGCTTTCCCCCCTCCCGCCGACGCTCCCGGAGACGCTTGTTCTGTAGGTTGTGACTTTTTCTCTGTCGATGGAGATTTTTGTTCTGCCGGTGGCAGTTGTTCTTTTGCCGGCGGTGGTGGTGACGGCTCGGGTTCTTCTGGTGGTGTTTTCGATGGCATTTTTTCTTTCCCCTCGCTCGATCCGTTGCTGGCGTCGGAGTCGAGATCGTCCAGGAGGCCGCTGTACTCTCTGACGACGCTGCTTGGCGCCTGGAAGTGAACGAGGCTCTTGAAATTTTGTATCGGTTTGCGTTCTGGGCGGTCGGGGATTTTATCGTCCTGCGACTTCTTTTACAGCAGGGCGTTGTATGCGTGCGTTTCGCGAGGCATGGGGAGCAGGTCCAGGTAGAATGTGAACGTCATTACATGTGGATGGTTGTTGTTGAAGATGGTGGTGGTAGTGAGATGGCGGTACATGTACTGCTTGTAGGTGGTCGGAACCGCCAAGAACCGTAGACTCTTGCCGTGCGCGGCAATCGTTTTGTGTCGCCTCTGGTGAAAGGAAGCCAACATTGGCCACATGCAGGCGTGAGAGTGAAGCAAGGCCAAAATGGTAGTGGTATATATGAATGACCTCAACATCGTAGTCACTACCATAATATTGGCGGCCGGTGCTATCTCCTCGGAAATGCGACGCGTTGAAATGTTGTAGAGAAAATTCTGCGGGTGTAAAATGGTTTTGAATCTCAGCAATGAACCGCCAGTGTGACAGGCAAGTAATTGTTTAGTAATCTGCAAGTCCTCGAACCCAGCTCCGAACGTCGCAAAGGGGTACGCCAAACCTTCGGATGTCTTCACGGTTTGCCGGTCATCAACAAAGTGTGCATTGTGCCGTGAACTATAGTGTAGGGTACAAGACCAGAATGCGTCGAATTCAGTCCATAGGTACTCACCAGGTACCGTCGGCATATGCCACAGTATTTCCAGACTACGTGCTAAAGTAGCTGTATTGTAGCGCTCTGCACTGTAGACTGTACAATGTAGCACAGGTGGCGATTCCTCCCAAAAAAGACGTTAGATATTATTGGGCAAGAGAAATCTGATCTACTGTATATTATCAACTGCAAATTGTTCCAAAGTTTCTTACCCCAGACGAGATCAATGGTCCCGCAGACGATGTAGTGCCGGGTAGTGTGCTGCCGGTTAACTGGACCGGTGGAAATGACGCCATTTCTTCCAACATTGCGTCAGCGTCACCATGACCAAAATCGGGCATATCATCAAGGTCTTCAGAACCACTGTCAGGAGCTTGTCCAGGTGCTGGCGTTGATGCCGGTGCAGGTGACGTAACTTCCGCGTTGCCTGTCACAATTGGCGGTTGGGAGTTTGACGACGATTTCCTGCCCACGGCGACGGTCGCCGGGTCGTCGGTGTAGTTCATGGCAGTACTGAGGTCCCGACTAACGCGAGAGATTCATGTCCACCGCCGTTCAACATGGCGCAGATCGCGTTTTACGGTCGCAGTTACATCCCTGACGTGTTGTCCGTACAGCGAAAAAGGAGGCAATCGCCAGGTCGACCGATTGGCAGCAAGGGGCGCCTGTGGGTCTCTCCTCTTACGACGAAATTGACAGGTCTGTCCGAGGAACCGGTCCACCCTGTCGTGTGTTGCTGGTTCCTCGTAGATTGTTAGCTGTCGATTGGCCTGGCAAAGCCTGGTTGTTAGTTATTTGCTTGCTTCCGAGCTGGTACTGAGGGTCATGCTTATCGGCAATAAGCTGGCCTCTGAAAGCAGCAAGTATTGGCGATAGTAGTGTGCAAAGGCAGCAACATTGGTGCTGCGCTGTGGCTTGTCAGGATTTCATGTCTCCGCGTCAAAAGGTTGAAAGGAGACATAGAAATGAAACCGTCAAAAAGGTTCTGAACTTGGAACTCGAAACTCGGGGCCTGGGGGCGGGGGGGGGGGGGG